TGGTTAACATTCCCATATAGCACTATTAAAAAGATTACTTTCTAGCTGTTCTACCAACCCACTTCTATAGAATAAAAAAAGCATATAGCCTTTGCTGGTGCTGCTACTTATGATATTGCTGGTAAAGAAAAAAATCTGGAAATACAAGAGGTGGTCAGAACAGCCTGAAGGGCCCTATTTAAGCACTGGATGGGGTTTCACAGCCATAAAGGAGGCAAGAGGGACTGCTTGGGCATGCTCTGCTTTATTGCCAAAACCCACATGCTACACATGGAGGATTGCTGCTCTACTGCCTTCACATTCTGCACACAGACCTTCTTTCCCTGCTGCATCTGTAGCAATAATTAGACCCAAGAATGTGCTGATATTAGACACTCACCCCAATGCATCAGGCTGTGCACTTCCTCAATATAGTACAAGGAAACAAATGAGAAACACCTGTACTAAAAACACCAGACTAATCTTCTATTAAAAGTCACAGTTTGTGCTCCAGTCTGCAAAGGTTTCTGCTGGAGAAAGGGGCTGAGCTGCTAGTGAATCTTAACTGAGAAAGATAATCTGAGGGCAAAACAGCTTAATAAAGAACTCTGAAGGGATTTTACAGAGCCCATGTCTCCAATCACACTTGTATAAGCTGTTTACAACAAGGGGCTAAGAAAGGAAACCTTGGGGAGCCACACGAGGGGGCATATTCTTCCCAGAAGAGTTTTGTGATTTTTGGAATGAAGTAATCTGATGAACAGATGGATGAGACAATAAACAGTTTTTAGAGAGGAAAATGATAACGCTGGATTCTGAAACTAAGCACAGCAGGTAGCAAGCTTCCGGATGGGTGTTGAAAAGACTCATACAATTTCCTAAAAGCTGATATGCTTAATCCCTCAAAAAAGGAAGATTTCACTGTTGCCATTACTTCAGATCTCATAGGTACAATGCAAGCATAAACCCTCCTCATAACTTCATGTGGCACATGATTTAAATGACCCTTATATTATGAAGACAAATGCTCAGGACTACATCATGCATTGTAACACCATAAATCTACTGGAAAGCATTTCCCACAGCCATGAAAAGAAACATGTACTTGTTAACATGCCACTGCAGTAGAGACAACTGTCCAGTTAGTTTTTTGCAACATTATCAGAAATAACAGGCCCATTTCCTTCAAGATTCACCACATTCCCAACAAAATAAGTGAAATGGCTCAGGCAGGTGTGGATCACAATGGATAAAATAATATTAACAGTTACAGTAGATTAAAAATTAATCTCTTTCTTAATGCTGAATGTGGTTCTCTTCAAGTCAAACTTCAGATAAAACATGGAACAACTTGCTCTGATGATCCCTAGGTTAAATCTATACCATATCTAAAGACTGAGGAAACCAGCCCTTAAGTGCTTTCACATTTTTCTCAGATGAAGTCTGTTTTAGGAATAGAATCATAGAAATAACGGTTAATAAAAAATAAAACAAAACATACCAGGCATAAGTTACTGTAGCAAACAACTGTCCTGTTAAAAAAAAAAAAATAATACAAACAAATCAGCTGGAAATATGATGATTTTGAAGACTGATGGTTCTTTCTTGTGTTTGTATACACTGTGTTTAGTATAGCTGCTAAACAAAATATGTCCACAGTCCTAGCAGCATGAGGTTGCTTCTAAAACAAAAAAACTCAACAACAACAAAGCCAGGTCAACTGTTTTGCAGCCTCTGGCAATAAGTGCTGTACATTTATCCAAACCTCATGACCAAATCTTTTGAACACTGAACTGCTCTGCAATGAGAAGGCAAGCATCTTTCTCCCATGTGCAACGGAATGACTAATGTCCAGAAGATAGATATTTTTCATCACCCAAACATTCTTTCTCACAGGACGTAAATAATAACACATGATCTATTACACCAAAACCAAGAGCAAGACTGCCAAGTAGCTATAGCAGATACACAAAACACTCCTTCACTCCTCGGAGTTTTACCTCATGCCTCAGTCTCCCTGGGTCCTTTCTAATTACCCAGCCAGACAACATTCACAATTCCCAAAACAGAGATAAAAAAAGTAGTATTAAAATTATTAGCTTGACATGAGAACACGAAAACACATAAACACGGGCCAGCCTAATGCCATTGGTTTTTTTAAACTCCTTGCTAATACCAAGACTGATTCAGAAGAGCGTGTTTTAAAACATTCATGGTAGTCGAGTTGTCTCTTACCTAGTACAAACCTTCCTCTTTCCTTCCTGGTGCTTGATGTCTTCCCTCCCTGAACCACAACCTGTTCACCTTCACAGCCCAGAGAGTCATGCCCTTATTTATACAAGTTGGTGTATAAAACAACCACCTTACTCACCAGCAAAGTTCAAGTAAATAGAAATAATAAAATCAGATCTACAAGATCAGCCATGTGAATATACGCGTAAGTAACTCTCCAGCGGTCATTCCAGTGGAGCCTGTGCCTCCACACAGGCAAAACAAATTGCAGGAACAAAGCCATAAGACTCTGGAGCAGCTACCATGTAACAATTCACTTAAACGTGTGAGCCTTATGCTAACTTATGAGGAAGAACTTCAATGAGAAACACTATTCGTATAAACTGAAGTAAACAAAACTATGCCCTTCACTTTTTGTGTAAATCACCATGCACATGCATGGGGTTGTATAGCACTAAAATATTTATTTTTATTTAAAAAAAAAAAAAAAAAAAAAAAAAAGGCTTTGCCACATAGCAAGACAGATTTCCATGGAAGTCCTTTGCATTATTAAGTCCTCAGAATGGGATAGTATAAGGTGACGTGTCCTTTCTCCTTCGTATTTTTTTAAACTACCTCGTGTGCTTCAAAATGTGACTAATGAAGAGTCGCTTATTGTTCTGATCTCTACTGACAATCACTAAATGCTGTCTCCTCTCCCCTTCTCTCCCGTGCCAGTTAGTGGCTGTTTGAGGCTGCCGGCCCCCATCCAGCAATGGACAGGAATAGTCGTACAAAGGTGTAATTTGGGACAGCAGTAAACTCAGACTGCGGATTTTATAATCCAGCTTTCTTGTGCACCGAGTACTATGTTTGAGAGGGACTGCAGTACGAGAGACCATAGGAACAGGCGCCGGGCCCTCTCCGTAAGTGCCGCCGCTCTTCCGCGGCCCGTCCCCGGGACCCCGCGGGCTCCGCTCGCCCCGGCAGGGCCGGGCGCCAGGTACCGCCCGTGTTACTCCGGGCTCTCGGCACGTCGCTTTTTTCGGAGGCTGTACCCCGGAACGAACGCCGACCCGGCCGAGCACCGCGCCTCCCGCGGCCCCGCTCCCGGGGCCACCTGCCACCGCCGGCGTCGCCGAGCCCCACCCCGGCCCCGCTCACCTTCGCCCGGCGCCTGCCGCAGCGCTGCCGCCCCGCCAGGCACAGACGGACAGGCTCCAGCCGCGCCCCGCTTCAAAGCCACCGCAGCGGGGCCGCGGCCGGGGCGAGGCCGCCCCGCGGCGGGGGTGGGACGCCCGGTGGAGCCGCCCGGCACCCCGGCAGCGGCACCCCGGTACCGGCACCCTGGCACCTGCGCCGTGAGGGAACGGGCCCCGGTGCCGCCGGCGGGGGCGAGCGCGAGGAAAGGCCCTGAGGGGGCACGCGCCGGCGCGGGGCTCGCGGGGGCAGGCGGTCGGCACGCGCCGGGCTCCCGGGGGCGCGCTGCAGGCCACCAGCCACCCCCCCCTCCACGGGCCGTGCAAATAACGCCAAGGAGGCCTGTCTTTTTTTTTTTTTTTTTTCCCTGTTTTTACCCCAGTTTTGTCCCATTTGCAGCCACCCTCGCACCAGTGCCGCCTCCCTCCCTTCCCTCTCTGCGGGTGCCCACGCTGAACACCCGTGAGATTCCCGCCCTCCCCCCCCACGACGCGCAGGGATGTGGCCCCGGGCGGCGCGGGGACCATCCGCGCTTTAACATCCGCCTGAGAAAGAAACGCGTTTCCCCGCAAGCCGCTCTGATCCGCGAGAAAAAATAAAATAAAGGTAAAAAATCAGTTCCGAAGCCGTTTCCCTGCGCCTCTGAGACACCGTTCCGGCTGCCCACGGCCGCCACGCCAGTTGCTCCTGCCCCGTGGCGCCGTGCCCGCCCCCCCCCCGTCGGCCAGCGCCGTCCACGGTGCGGCCGCCAGCGGGCGGGGACGGGGCAGGGAGACGGGCGGCCGCTCGGGGGTGCCCGGCACCGCCGATCCCGCAACAACGCGCCGTTACCGGCTGCCGCGTGGAGGGAGGGACGCCCCGTGGATGCCGCCAGCAGCTGCTGTGTGAAACACCCGTGCGTGCGTACCAGACGGGGAGTCGCCCCTCCAGCGGAGCTTTTACTGGAACGCGCTCCCCCCCTGAAACGGAGGTGGGGAAGAGGAGCGCTCCCCACGCGTGGCCGATCCCCCAGGGCCAGGAGACCCAGGAGGGACCCCTGGGCGCGGCCCCACCTCCTGCTCTGCCCGCCGCTTGCCGTCCTACCGGCTCCCGCCGCCAGCCGCGCCGGCGCGGAGATGCCTCTCCCAGGGGGACGGACGCCGCGGACCTTTCGCTGGGGTCGCCAGCCGGGCCGGGGGTGGGCACCGGGCACGTCGCGGCAGAAGCGGCCGGGCCGAGCCGCAGCCCCGAGCGCCCGCCAGCGGCGGAGGGCGGGGGGTGGGGGGGGAGAGGGTAGGGGGTCGGACCGCCCCGTCGGACCGCGCTGACGGCGGCGGTCACGGCGAGGGGCAGCGGTGTGAGCCGCACGGCGGGGCCGGGGAAGGCCCGGGTACCGGCGCCGGGGCGCGACCCCGCGGCCGCTCGTGCCCGCGCCCGGCGCCGCTCCCGTCCCGCGCCCCGCGAGCCCGCGGGGATACGGCGAGGCCGGGCGCCCCATTGGCCGTTGCTAGGTGACGTGCGCCGCGCCACGTGACCGGTGTTAAATGCCGTCCCGGCGGCGCGCGGCGCCGCAGAGCCCGTCCCGCTGGCGGTGGCGGGAGCGCAGCTGCCCGCCCCGGCCCGGCCCGGCCCCGCGGGGCGCGCAGCGCAGCGCAGCGCGGCGGGCATGGTGGCGCGGCCCTGAGCGCCTCTCCCGGGTGGGGGGACGGCCCTGGGGCGGCGGCGGCCCGTGCCCCGGCGGGCGGGGGCGCGGGATGACCGGGGTGCTGGAGAGCCTGGTGCCGGACATGCACGCCAGTCAGATCTCCGCCGGCAGCTACCACCAGCACGGCGGCCTGCACAAGCCGCAGGAGTCCCCCACGCTGCCCGTCTCCACGGCCACCGACAGCAGCTACTACACCAACCAGCAGCACGGGGCGGCGGGCGGGCCGCCCTACGGCCCGGTGGGCTCCTACCCCTACGCGGGCGGCGGCACCGCCCCCTACTCCGCCAAGGCCGGCTACGACCTGGGCTACGCGGGCGCCTACGGCTCCTACGGGCCCTATGGCAGCAGGGCCTCTCCGGCCAACAACGACTCCGGTACGTCCGAGCCCGGGGCAGGCGGCTCGGGGGAACCGACGGGAGCCGGGCGGCCCCTCCCGGCCCGGCGAGGAAGAGGCCGGGGCGAGGGACTCGGGGCGGGCCGGGAAGGGGGGGCTCGTCCTCGGCGCGCCGCCCCGACGGGGCGGGTGGTGATGCCGCGCTGAGGAGCAGGGCCCCGGGCCGGCGCGGGGTGCTCTCCTCACCGGGACCGCCGTTTCTGTCGCAGCAGAGAAGGAAGACTGCGAACCGGAGATCAGGATCGTGAACGGGAAGCCGAAGAAAGTGAGGAAGCCCCGGACCATCTACTCCAGCTTCCAGCTGGCGGCTCTGCAGCGGCGCTTCCAGAAAACCCAGTACCTCGCCCTGCCCGAGAGAGCGGAGCTGGCGGCCTCCCTCGGCCTCACCCAGACGCAGGTAGGGCTCTCCCGCCCGCCGGGCCCCGGGCACGCTCCGCGGGGGTCGGGCGTGGGCGTGGGACTGGGAGGGGGGCCGGCCCACGGCGCCGCGACGGCCCCGTAGCGGGAGTGCCGGGGAAGAGGCCGCACCGCGGAAGCAGCCCAGGGGCCGATCGGGTCTGCGAAAGCCGCTCGTTCCGGGCGCCGTGGCGGTCCAGCGGAGGCTGCGGCCGCCTGACGCCCCTCTCCCCCCCACCCCCAGGTGAAGATCTGGTTTCAGAACCGCCGCTCCAAGTTCAAGAAGATGTGGAAGAGCGGCGAGATCCCGGCGGAGCCGCCCCCCCGACGCAGCGCCTCGCCGCCACCCCCCGCCTCGCCCCCAGCCTGGGACTTCGCTCCGCACCCGCGTACGGCGGGCGGCACCGCCAGCCCCAGCCCCGCCGCCGCCTTCCTCGGTAGCTACTCGTGGTACCCGCCGGCGCCCGGCGGCCCGGCGCACCTGCCGGCGGCCGCCCCGCTCCCGCAGCCGGCGCAGCCCCCGCACCACCACGGCGGCGGCATTTTCTAGGCGCCGCAGAGACTCGAGCCCGCGGGGCCGCGCCCGACAGCCGCGGGGCACCGAGGTGCAGCACTGGTGGTTTGGTGAAGCCCGGCCTCGGCCGTCCCGGCGGAGAGGAACCGCTCGGTGCGCCATCCCGTCGCGCCGCCGGCGGTGGTCCCGGTGTGCTCTCGGCCCCCGAGGGGGCCGCCCTCCCGCCGCCAAAATAACCACGCTACGGACCAAGCACCCGCCTTTCGTCCCTTTTCTTCCGCCCCGGCTTTTTCATCAAACCACCGGTGCAGAACTTTGGTTAACTTTATTTTTTATTTTTTTAAAGTTGATAGGTGCCTTTGCGGATGACCTCACTTTGATGTTGGGGATTAAAAAAATAAAATGTTAAAAAAAAAAAAAAAAGATAATTAATTTTTATATGTAGATTTAAAACAAGAGCCTCCTGTGTTTAAGTTATCCTTTTCATTCGTGAACGAAGCCGTGCGGCGAGGTGGGCCGGTGGTAGGCGGCGGTGGCGGCGGGGCTCCCTCCCGCGCGGTGCCTCCGGGCGGGTTTCGTGCCCCGACGGGGTCTCCCCGGGGCAGGCGCTGAGCCCTCCCTTCCGCCCCCATCGCCGGCAACCCAGCCACTGGTCCTGCCCCTGAGCCGTTTGATGTCAAGAGTCGTGAAAAAAAAAAAAAAAAAAAAGAGGTATTTTTGGTTATTTATTATGGAAAACTTAAACACTCTTTAATGTTTCTTTTACAATAAGCAGAGATTATTTAAATAAATTATTGTTTCCATGGTGTCCGCGCCGTTTCTTTGGGTATGGGGGAGGTTGGAGGTGTCGATCCAGACCCCGGCACTCCCTGAGGGTGAGAGCAGCGTCCCCTCCCCATTGCAACTGTTGCCGCAAGCCGACAACGTTCCCCCTTCTTCCCCCCCGCTCCTTTCCCATCTACAATAAAATCTCGCCCCTGCCCGTCTTCTCAGCGAGGCCATGAATCACTCAGCGCTGCCTGCAGCAGACCGGAGCCGCCCCCCCCCCCCCCCCGCCCCGCCTGCTGGCGCCAGCGACATTTCGCCCGGGACCGGCTCCTGCCGTCTCCCAGCCGGGCCGGAGGGGTTTGGGGCAGGGCCGTGGCCGGGCACCGGAGGACACTTGCAGCTAGTCCCCGGGCGCAGCCGTGCCCCGCAGAAATTCCACCCCCCTCCCCGCCCCCCCCGCTCCGTCGGTGGCACCCGGGCCGGTAGCCTGCGTGGGAGCTTCGCTTGGGCATGATCTGGTGGCTGTCCCCGAGCCACTCCATGTCCCACTGAGGGCTGGAGGCACCGGCTGGGTATCTCTGGGATGTGCCCCTGGAGGGCTGGACCCCTCAGGATGTACCCCTCTGGGATTTAGCCCTCCAGGCTTCACCCTTGAGAGCTGAACCCCCTCTGGAATGTGCCCCTGGAAGGCTGGACCCCTCCAGGCTGAACCGCCTTCCAGGCTGCACCCCCTCCAAGTTTCACAGCTCTGGGATGTATCCCTCGAGGGCTGGACCCCTCCAGAATGTAGCCCTCTGTGAATCTCCGTACCCCTCCGGGCTGACCCCCTCGGGACGTGCCCTTCCCGGGTGTGCTCCTCCAAGCTGTAACCCTGAGGGCTGTACTCTCCGGGCTGCATCCTTGGAGGTCTAGCAGCTGGAAGAAGAAACGGGAGGCGAGGGGGGGTGTCTCTGACCCTTGTCGCCCCGAGGGTCCCGCCAGTTTGGTGGCGCGGGGAAGGGACCTGTGCGGAGGATCCCGCTGCAGACAAGATGATGAAGAGGTCCAGGCCAGTTCCCCCGGGCAGGGAATGTGCAGCCCGGCCGGGACTCTCCCGACAGGCCCCGGCATGAGGAGCAGCCCGGGCGGGGCCGGAGCAGGAGCGGGGGGGCTCCGGCCCCACACGGGACACGCGGGAGGGGGGAGGGCAGGGAGGGCGGATTGCTCCAGAGAGCTTGGGGAAGGCTTGGGAGCGAGGAGGGGCAGAAGGGCGAAGGAGGAGTGAGGAAAAGAGAAGGAGGGGTGGTGGTGGGGGGGGGGTGGTGTGTTGGAGGGCGAGAGAGGCGGCTGCAAAGGCGGCGAGAGGAGGGAGCGGGAGAGACAAAGGGGGAAGCGGCAGCTGCCCGCCGGCCTCGGCGCTGCCCCGACGGGAAGGAGAGCCCAGAGCTGCCCCGGGAAACGGCGAGGCGGGCCCGGACCCCACCTCTGCCCGGCAACAACTCCCCCGCCGGCCACGGGGAGACCCGGCGGCAGCGGCCTCGGCACCCCCCCCCAGGGCCGGGGGGAAGGAGTTTCCCCGCTGGCGTGCGGCGAAGCGCTGGGGCGGCGGGCACGGAGTGGGGCGGGGTGGGGAAAAAAGGCAGCGGGGCCGCCCCGAGATACAGGGGCACGCGTGGAGGGGACACGCGTGGTGAGCAGGACGGCGGAGCCCCCCGCCCCCGCGGTCTGGCAGTGTCTGTGCTGCCAGCAGTGCGCGCTGCCTCCGCGGGCACCGGCGGGTGCGGGGGGGGGAGGGGGGACTGGGACATCCCTCTGCCAGGTGACAAGTTTGGCTAAACCGCTCGTCCAGGATGCCAGAGGAAACCGCGGGCACGGGACATGGCCAGGACGGAGACAAACACCCCTCCCCCCCGCCCCGTCGTTTTCACAGGCGCTTCTCGCTGTTAAATAAAGTTGCCCCCAAAAAAACACCTGCTCCCCCCGCCCCCCCCCCCCCCCGTCCCTCCTCACTCAGCGACTCCAGCCCGCCGCAGCGGTGAGGTGCGGAGCGTGGCTCGGCCCCGTGGGTTCGGGCAGGATGCCGCCACCGGCGTGGGGTCCCCGGGGCCGTGCCCAGCCGGTGGCCTCTTGTCAGCGCTCCGGGAGCTGAGCACCAGGACGGGGGAGACCGCGGGCCACCCCCCTTGCCCTCCGCGCTTTCCTCCTCCTATTTAGCTACTTCTTATTTGATTATTTATTTATTAGCATGCATTTGCAGCCTGCTAGCAGCACCTCTCCCTGGGCTGTCCGCACCTGGTGTGAGCGTGGGGGTGTTCGTGCTTCACCTTGCAGCGTCCCCGCTGCTCCCGCAGCCCTTCCAGGCTCCTCGTTTCCCCGCGGCTCACACCGCGCTGGGGACGACCAAGGCGGGCGGCCCCGCGTAGGCGCGCTGCGGCTTCGCACGCCCCGTAGATACATACGTATAGGTATATGTGTATGTCTGTAATCTGCCTTCTCGTGCTCTTTTCCCGTCCGATAGGACGGGGCGCGCACCGCTGTGAAATGTGTGGCCCCGCACAAGGCGGCAGCTACGCGGAGCGCGGCAGCTACGCGGGGCTCGGCCGCCCGGGTCCGGGAAGAGCCGCGGGGAGCCGGGCAGCCGAGGGGCGAGAGCTGCCCCTACCCCCCCAGTGCTCCGGGAGGGGGGCGAGGGGGCTGAGCCGATTCCGCTCCACGTCCCAGCGACGACGGTCCCCCCCCCGCCCCCCCGTCGGGGGCGGCTGAACGGAGACGGTCCCGGGGGGGCGGCCGGGGTAAGTGACGGCTCCGCGGCCAGACCGGGCCGGGGGGGCCGGCCCGACAGCCGCCCAGGCGAGGAGCACCCTCTGCCCCCCCCGGCGCACGGGCGGGGCCGGCCGGGTTTGTGCCGTGGGTAGGCAATTTACTCATTTGCCCCGGTGAAAAGAAAAAGCACGAGAAATTCAATTAAAGCGGCTCTGGCAAAAGGAGTTATTTGAGGCATGAATGTCTCCCCTAAAGCTGCAGCAATCATGTGGCATTAGACACTTCCGGAATCCTATAGCCAACTTGAAAAATCCCAGACCCCTTTTTTCCCTAATTTTTGCTCTGATCTGTAATTTTATCCACATTTGCACTAGTTTGAGCATTCTGGCTCTCCCATCTGAAAGCCTGCAATTACTATATAATTCTTCGCAATTTCACATGTCCTAATATGGACTGTAATTTTTGCGCAAGACAATTTCCTGCTATTTCAAGCATCAACATTGTCAAAGTTGTATGTACATAATAAATGGGAATATCAATGCATAGTTTTTAGCATAACATCTTGACTCCTCGATAATTATATCCGTTCGGAGCCTACGCAGAATTAGCCTGAATTGCATGGTAACTGCTGCTGCTTTAAAATTTTTAAAAATTACTCATAATTTTCCCAAAGATTACCAAGATCTCGAGTGCACAATGTCATCAGCGTAATGAAGAGTAAACATTTATGCTAATAATCTGCAATTTTTTTCATCAGCTATAAAGACAGAGGCTATATAGCAGAAAATTTCAGTCATATTCTGCAAGAGCAGAGCTGCAAAAAGGCTGCTGCGCTCAGAGGCTTGTGCATCTCTGGGGGATCTCAATCCACATTTGCACTCTCAGGATATTATTATTGTGCTCGGGTTCATTTCTTTTTTTTTTTTTTTTTTTCCTCCCATTTCTTTTTTCCTCCCCGATCCTCTCCCTGTCTCTCACACTCTCTCGCTCCTGTAACTTTCGTAGCGAAAAGCCGCGTTCGGTCCTTTGGTTTGTTGTAAAGCAAAGACTTGTGTCCAGAGCCTCAGGGACTGAGGCGCAAGGTAAGGGTGGCGACACAGGCTCCTTTCTCGCGGGGGTAGGTGAGTGCACGGGGAGCGACGTGGATGGATGCCCCGCGCGGGCCGCGGAGGGGGGAGCAGCGGCGGCGGCTCCGCCGGCCCGTCCTCCCGGCAAAACCTCCCGGGAGCGGGGGCCGGGCCGGGCGGCGGGGCCGCCGCGCACAGCCGAGCCGCGCCGGGGCACCCCGCGGGCCGCGCCGAGCCGCGGAGCGCTGCGCGGGCAGAGCGGCGCCGGGGCGGAGCGGGGGCACCCGCCGCCCGGGGCTGCCGCGGGCAGCTGCCGGCGCCGGGGCGCGCTCGTTTTCGGTGGTGGTTTCGCGGGGTGCGTGTGCCCGTTCCTTGGAAAGGGGAGCGGTACCGGCCGGTCCCCAGCCGGGACCCGGGAGCCGGGAGCGGGGAGCCGGGAGCCGGGAGCCGGGAGCCGGGAGCCGGGAGGGGAGGGCGGCGGCGCGGGGGGGGCCGTGGAACTTTTTCACCGGCGTGAGAGCGGCGGCGGCGGCGGGAGCGGGGCGGGCGGCCGGCGGCGGGGCGAGCGGAGCGGGCGGTGGCGGGGATTTCTGACCCCCCTCTGTCAAACGAAGGGAGCAAATGCCGAATGCAAACGGGCTTGGGCCTTCATATTTGATTTTTTTCTAGTTTCAGGGGCCGCTCTGTGCTCTGCAATTAGATTGACACATGTACAGCATCCCCCAGCCATTCAAAGGGGTTCGCAGGGACACTCCAAAGGGATTTTTTTTTTCCTTTTTCTTTTTGGGTGGAAGATATTAAAGAGGTATCTGTTGTTTGGCAATTTTGCTAAGTCTGTCTTCATTACTTCAACATTGTGCATTTGCTAATTTGGAAGCCCCTTCCTATTGACAGCTCTGCTCCATACACCTGCAAGCAATTTGCAGAGCTCCAATATAGGAGAATTGCAGAGATGGCAGCTCGCACCTATTTTATTTTTTTTTTCTTCGCTTTTCTCAATGCACAGCAAATTTGGCTTTCAGTGCGTTATCTCTTTTGTTAATGCAAAAAGATTCCCTGGGCGAAAAAATTGCTCATAATTACCAGAGAGATGGGGAAACTGCATTAGAATAAATAAACCTGAAATTACTGTAATTATGTTGTGTTTGATGGGCTCGGCTTGTAATCAAGAAGAGAATACAGTGAAATGATGCTGACCCTCTTGGGTTTGCAGCTGTACGCGCACTTTGGGGTCTTTTTTTGCAGAAAAGAGTCATTTTGATCATCATTAAGCTGTGTGTAACCTATTTCAGAAGTGTTTGAAAATGAGGGGCACTTTTTTTTTTTTTTCCCAACAAGGAAAAAATATATCCCAAAATTACATTTTGCCATTTACAGGCTCATCCATAAGGTTGTGTTTGCGGGGTGACAATTGCTAAAGGTATAATATTAGAAATCAGGACTTAATCATTGTAATGAGGTATTGTTTCAATATAAGCACCTTTGGATTATTCATAGTTTAATTAATATCCTCATTATGAAAATCTTCGAATCAGATATTTGATGAACTACTTGTCAGCAACAAGGCAGAATTAATTAGGCCTGTATTGAGATTAACATTTTCAAATGTACAATTACAGTAGACTCTAACTCAAGACCGCCTCGCTGAGAGAAAACTAATAATTTCTCTATTTGAACTGTTAGCAAGACGTTATTGAATTAGGAGAAGCTAATATATCTTTAAAGAGCTCCGAGCTGCTTGACCGCCCCGTTCCTGTCCGGTCAAAGGCGTTTGGCCCCCGGCTGCAGCCTCCGCGGGAGCTGCGCGGGGCCAGGGCGCGGCGGGGCCGCCCCACTCCCGTTCGCCCTCCGCTCGGGGCTTCGGGCTGCCGGGAACCGGGCTCGGGTCGTGGCACCGCGGGAAATACGAGCTGGGAAGTATTTTGCGGCCCGGAGCCGGCACACCGCGTGTTAGCGCCCGGGCGGATGCTGCGCTGCCGCGCAGCGGCTGCGCGCCGGCTCCGCGCCCTGGGGAGCGGGCGCGTACCTCGGGGCGGGTAAACACTGCTCCCGCGGGACCGCACGCCCGCTCCCCCGCGGAACCTGCGCGGAGAGCCGCGCACAGCCTAGCCTGACAAGCCCCGCCGCTCCCGGTTCCCCGCCGCTCAGCAGCGCTCGGCCCCTGGCAGCGGCTGCGGGCTGTGCCGGCGCCGGGCCGCCCCGGGGAGCGGGCACGGCTGAGCCCGGCGTCGGGATAGCCGCCGCGGCAGCGGGACGGCTCTGCCGTCGAACCGGCCTGGCTGCAGTGGCGGAGGCCGGGGCTGTCCCGGACCACCCGCGTCCCCCTCCTGGCCCGGGAGCTGTTGCCGGGTCCTCCGCCGTCCCCGAGGATCCCGCGACCCATCGCGGCGTCCGGCGCGGGATGGCGGGACCCGCCCGGGCGCCCCGGGGACAGACCGCCCGGCCCGGGGCGCGTCGCCCCCTCCCCCGCCTCGCCTCCCGGTCACGGCCACCGCCGGCCCGCCGCGGAGCGCGGAGCGCGCAGCTGGGTTCGTGCCCCGCTCCCGGCCCCGCTTCGAGACAGGGAGCACGCGTGTCTCTTTTTCCAAACCATAGTTTTACTGTCTCAAAGAAACTTTATAACTTATGTACAAAGATTTGTGTGATTTTTTTCCTTTCCTTTCCCAGATACAAAGCAATAAGTTAACATTCTCAATATAAAACTAAACTTTGACATATAGAACACTAAACACAGCCGAGCTCAGTTTATCACATCTTCCGAATTTCACAAGTAAAATGTCAAGATCTCAGTACACAAAGCATCATGTTTTACAGCCACACGAAACAGAACGGAAATAATAATAATTAATAATAATTAAAAAAGGCTAAATTTGTGCAACATGTTTACAGAACAATAATAATAATAATTAAGAATAAGATATGTACAGTGAGTAGCTCCTGCACGTCGGTTTGTGCATTTCGACTTCGGGCCGGCTTTCCGCGGGGAAGCCTCGCCGGGGCTGCGCGGAGCTGCGCGGGTGCGGCCGCCCGCCCGCCGGGTCCCCCCCCCCCCGGCCCCCGCCGCCGCCCTCGGGGCTCTCGTTCCGTCCTCCGCGCCTCGCCTCACCGCGGCAAAGCGCTCGGCAGCTGCTGCGATTCCACTCCGGAGTAGCAAACAATGATGTGCGTTTATTTCCTTTGTTAAATACGCGAGAAATGCAAATCTATTCGGGCCAAACCTCTCCACACCAGCGAAGTATAAAAGTTACTGTAAAAGTTAAAAATCGCATCCTTCTCCTGTAGTGATTTCTCGGGGGGGCCGGGGCCGGGGGGCCGTGCATGGTTTTGTTGAAAGCAAACCGTGCGTCCGAGCAGTGCACTCAGCAAGCCGGATTGTCCGTTTCGTTTCTAGCACTCTCATAGTGGTAATTTAAATCAATAAATAAAACCCCTGTCTTCCCCTTTTAACAACAACAAAAAATATACAGATGGAGAGTGAAAAGTACAGAAAATGTCGAGGGAAAGAAGCTCTGGAAATTCTACAGCTTCCTTCCCCCTTGCAATCGAAGAGACCGTCAGATCGGGGTAGTAAATCAATGACCTACATTTCAACAGACACAGACAGACAGACAGGACAGAGGAGAGGGCTTCCCCCCCCCCAAACATCTTTTTCCGATTGTCCCACACAGCCGCGGCCGCTGCTCCCAGGCTGTTGCGCGGCGCCCGGGGCCGCCCCGGCAGCTGCCGCGCTGGGAGCCGGCCCGCACCGCACCTGCGCTGCCCCGCTCCGCGCCGCGCCGCGCCCGCCCGCCGGCTGGGCAAGAGACCTCCTGCTTGTTTGTTCGCTTGGGTGTCTTTTGTGGCTTTCCTCTCTCACTCTCATCTCTCCCCTCTTTTTTTTTTTTTTTCTTTTTTTTATCCCTTTCCTTTTATTTTATCTATTTTTTTTTGTTGTTTTGTGTGTGTGTGTGTGTGTGTGTTTGTTTGTTTGTTTGTTTGTTTGTTTTCCCCGTAATAATTTCAATTCTTTTCGGGACCGATAGTGCTTGCAGTAGGGGAAAACAGATTTATAATCACATCAGCTGCGGCTGCTGCATAGCTTCTTGGTGGGCCGAAGGATACCACGACGTGTAGCTGGGGATGTAGGTGCCCGGGGTCCCCGACGAGGCCTTACCGGAGGCGGAGGTGGTATTCCACACCGGGGGCACCGGTGGCGAGCTGCCCGAGAGAGCCCTGCCGTTGGTCAAGGCACTGCTCTCCAGGGCGGCCCCTCCTTGCTTCATCAGCTTCTTGAATTTGGAGCGCTTGTTCTGAAACCAAATCTTCACCTGCAAACGGGAACGGGGCAGGGCTCAGCATCCCTCGCTACGGTCCAGCATCCTTCACCTCCCACCCCCGGGTTCCGACGGACCCCCCACACCCGGCGCCCCCCCCCAGCTTCTCCCCCTTATCCCCCCCCCGTGGCTGCTGTGCCCGCTGCCATTTCGTGATGCCAAACCACCCGGTAAGACACCCCCCGCCTCCGCCCGCCCCACCGCAGAGGCGCAGCCGGTGCCGCGGAGGCCCCCGCGGGCGTCGCACTGGGCCCCGTTGCCCGCGGCTGTGACCCGTCTGCATCACGCGTGGGGTCTCCCACGCTGGCGGTGGGGACAGGGAGAGGACACAGGAGAAGGGCCGGCTCAGCTGGAGCTGTACCTGGGTCTGGGTGAGTCCCAGAGACGCTGCGAGCTCGGCTCTTTCGGGGAGAGCCAGGTACTGAGTTTGCTGGAACCTCCTGTTCAAAGCCTGCAGCTGCAAACTGGAATAAATAGTCCTGGGTTTGCGTATTTTTTTCCCTTTTCCATTAAAGCGAACTTCCCCTCCTTCTACCACAGTGCTTTTCTCCGATTCGGCCCCTACAAACAACAAACCATGCAGAATAAATAATAATAATAGCAGCAATAGTAGTAATAGCAGCAACAGCAATAGCAGCAGCAGCAGTAGTAACAATAACAGCAGCAACATCAACAATAACAATAATGAGAAGGAAGAAAAGTGAAGCTCGAGTAACGCTAACAAAGGCTCTGGGCGATTATGGCAGCCCAGGCTTCTTCCCAGAGAAAGTTTGCTATTTTTACAGGCTGCAGTTTAGGTTTAATTACCCTTAATTGCATACATTGTTTATAGAGCTACGCAATAAATAATTACGAAGACTAATACGTGCACATCTGGGTTGATTTCTTTTCCAGCCAGGCATTGTGTGCTCTGTGTACTGCTCCCCTGTGATCCTCAGCCTCTCCTGTCTAATATTTTGTAATTTAATTTAATTTTTCCCCCCCCGACAGATTTTTTTTTTTTTTTATACAAGCACCCTCCCTCCCTCCTTGCCTTCCCTCCCCCCCCTCCCCCCCTCCCCAAAGCCGAGTGCACCTACCTGTCTCCTCTAACCGGGTCTGAGTCAGGCTGGAGCTGTTGGGGTAGGACTGCACTGAACTGATGTAGGGGTTGGTCGAGTGGCTGCTGACCGAGTTGACATAGGGGTAGCCCAGCGGTCGGGAGAAGGACGAAGCTGTGCTGTACGAGCTGTCAGGCTGAGAGTGGCCCGCGGAGTGTAAACAGTGCATGGAATAGTGTCCGTGGGACATGGGAGAAGGAGACATTTGCTGGCTGGGCGGCCCAAACTCCATAAAGACAGCCTTCCCTGAGACGGGGCTATTTAGACTCTCTGGCATGGTAGTCATGGTCATTTCTTGTCGCTTGGTCTGTGTGTGTGTTCTCTCTTCAGCTTGCCTTTTTGGGGTCTGTTGTGTTTCTCAGGACAGGAAAGAACCCAATTTAAGCGGAACAGGGTTTTTCACTTTCCATTCATAAGAAAATGGAGTTTGTCTCTTTGAAAAGTCTAAGCATGATGCTGTACATCTACACAAACTCGCCTAAAAGCTTTGACTCAGCCAAGTCTATGAATATTCATGAGCTGGCGGAGCTGATTGGTCCGCCGTCTTGCATAATCGCTTTGGATTGGTCCAAGGCGCTCGGGGCTCGCCCGGACCCCGGTGAGCGCGGAGAGCCGGGCTGGCAGCGCCGCGCGTCCCCGACCGCCGGCCGCACGCCCCGCCGGCCCCGCACCCCGGGCCCGCACCCCGGGCCCGCTCTCCGCACCCCGCCACCGCCCCCCGGCCGGCCGAGGGGCCGCCTGGGCCCCCCCGCTCCCATCGCGGGCCGCTTGCTCCCGCCGCCGGCGACGGAGGGCGCCGAGCCGCAGCTCGGCGGGAGGTAGCGCGCCTCCCTCCGCCCTTCTCCTCCGCCCCTCGCCGCGCAGGCGGCGCGGAGGGGACGGCAGCCGCGCTCCGCCGGGCTGCGGGGGTGCTGACCCGCCGCGGGGGTCCCGCTCCCCGCCCCGCTCCGTTCCGGCGGCGGGACCCGCGGACAAAGCGGGCGGCCCGCGGCTGCCCGGCCGCGCACACTCCGCGGGCGCGCAGGGGCTCTCCGCTCCGGCCCGCGGGTCCCAGCGCCGCCTGCGCCTCCGGAGCGTGCCGCCCGGTTATCGGCGTTATTGTTCTTAAAGCGGAGGGGGGGTGGAAAAAAAAAAATCAACGAAACAAAACTCGCCCTGAACGGGCCAAACGGCGCATTTGAGCTTAAAATGAAAACTTCCGCGTGCGTGAGCGGTAAATGAGGTGGGACTTGGGAGATCCTCCCCAGAAAGCCCACGATGAATCCCAAATTACTTTGTTAGATAATTAGAAAGTGTTGATAATTATTTCTTTCATAATTCAGCGGTGTGACTGTAACAGGAAAATGATCTTGTGAAAGTTCACACGTGCAGATGTATTAGTTACTGATTCATTTGATTAAATGCTAGTCTCAAGTGCTCTGATCCACAGCTGAAGGCGGCCCCATTAGCATAACACTGATGTTTAATTTTCATACGCATAATTAGCCATATATTTAACACTAATAGCAACATGCAGCCTTCCAGCGTTAAACAGCCTGGGATTTGATCTGGCCTGGGCTGAACTTTCCCGGTTACACCTAAGCTGTCTAGGGTGCGCAGTTAGCACGGCACCACATCTATGTAATCAAGCGCATTTTGGCAAAGGGAGAACACCAATAAAAGTGAACATTCAAAACAACTCGCAGCGCAGATGCCGTTACCGGTCCGAGCGCCGACCTCCGCCGCCGGCAGCGGGGCTGGGGCTCCGCGGGCAGCGCCGGGCCTGGCAGCCACCGGCTCATGGCTGCTCAAAGCTGACAAGACCGAGCCCCTCTGCTCCTGTTTTTTTTTTTTTTTTTTTTTTTTTAAGTTTCATTAGTGGCTCTGTTGGTTTTAATTGCCTATTTCCTAACGCCTATTTTACTTCCTCCTTCCTCTTACCCCCTCCTTCCTTTTTTTTTTTTTTTTTTCTCTCGTGATGCGCAAAGTTCATTTTCACAAAATCGCGGCGGCTTGGCGCGGGAAGGGGCAGTAGCGGTGTCTCCCCACACGGACTTCAGCAGCCGGCTCTGCCCCCCCGGCGATGTAAGTGACCACCCGAGGCGGGTCTGCGCGCTTGTCCGAGGAGGGGATGGGGCTCCCCGGCAGCTCCGGGCCCTTCGTCCCCTTCCAGCCCCGCGGCTGCGGGGCGGGGGAGGCTGCTCCGTGCTCGCCGGCTCCGCCGCCACCTCCTCCGCTCGGCCGGGCGCAAGCAGCCCTGGGGAGAACCGCAGTCCGGCCGGCAACGCCAAAACCCCGCGGTTCTGCTCACGCCCTGAGCGGGGCCGCCGGGGCCGCCCCTCTGGGCAGCGCCGGTCCCGGGGCAGCGCGGGTTTCGGCGGGCGCGGAGGGGCCGCCCCGACCCCGCGGGGGCGATCGCCCCGTCGGGTCTCTCATCGTGTGTGCCCGGCAAGACCTCCTGCGTGAAGGGCTTGTACGAGGCGCTGCCTGGCCCCGCACAGCCGAGGCGTCTCTTTAGGCTCGTTCATAATTAGGATTACCAACGGGCGGCATCAGTGCCAGCGCCCGGCCGCCACCGCTCCCCGGCAGCCGCTAAAACCCGCGGTCCCATCCCAGTCACCGGGGGGACTTCCGAGCAAACAGCGTCTACCAGGAGCTGCCAGCGTGCCCCTTACGCCAGGCTGCGGGAGGGGGTGTCCCTGCTCCCGGCTGCCCCGTTCCCGCCTGACCCCACGCCGCGGTAAGCAGAGTCGGCCCGGCGGAGGGGCAGGGGACGGGGGGAACCGTAACAACCTGCGGTGCCACCCAGGGGCTCCCGGCGCGGCCAACCCCCCCCCCCCCCGGAGGCGCCACTGGCGGGACCCCGGAACCCCAGAGCCCCTCGGGGGGGGGGGGGGGGGGCGGGAGGGGCAGCACCGGGCAGTGCTGGGATCTCCCTCGCCTCCCGCGGCCGCAGCGCGCTGTTTAACCTCTGTGCATTTGTAAACTTGCTCGCTGCACCGTTTGTTTTTACAGGTTTTAAGGCTTTCCATGCTCCTCTCGGGGAGGACGGAGCTGAGCCGCTGCCCCGCGGTGCTAGCCGTGTTCCGGGGGGGGTCCTGCTTTTTGAAAAGATGCTGTTAGAAACTATTAGAGCTGACAGCTCGCTGTACTCGAGTGAAAACAAACAGCAGAGTAAAGCTGTAAGTAAGCGGCTTACTTCTGCCCTGAACCACTGAGAGAGCCGGTGCTGAGCAGTCCCGGCCGCCTGCATGCGCAGCCCTCGGCACAGGACCGCATCTGCCTACAATTAAGGGCAAATTATTTGTACCAAAACCGCACTGCTGCTGCCGCGGGTCTGGGGCACTTCTGGATGTCACTCGCTTCTCTCCAAGGCTACCCCGCGCTTCACGGCACCGCGTCCTGCTCCAGAAGCCTCCACGGAGGAAGGCGTGACGCGCCCAGCCCGACGGGGCGGTCAGCAATCGGCTAATTGCAAATCAAACCCTCCACACTCGGCAGGCCCGCGACAGGACCGCAGCGAGCACGGGCCCGAGTGGGACCCGCAGCTCATGAGGACCATCAGCTCCAAACTCTGGGAAGGAGCCGGGGCTCATCCTCCAGACTGCAAACTCCTCTGTTTCGGTTAAACGCTTAACCTGCAGAGTGCCTCTCCTTTAACTAACACGGGCACTGCAGAGCAGTGATTACCCCAAACCGGCTAATTCTTCAGGAAGGGCAATTATTGATCTCCAGAGAAGCGCGCTTCACTATCTCATTTTTAATCACTTTTTGTGCTGTGCAAAGAGAAATTAGCTGAGGCAGGAAGGGGGGGACTGCTGATGGGAGGGCTGAGGGGGAAGAGGCTGCTGCCTCTGCCTGCCACCCTCGGGAAACTTTTTTCCATCCTAGTAGAAGTTACAGCCTGGGAAACAGCACTGTGCTAATCGCAGTGAAGACAAACGGACTCCATAGCTCTGCTATAAAGGGAAAATACTATGTTCCTCTGTCCTCTCAGCTGCACAGGCACCATGTCATCTGATAGGTGTTTGTCCCACATAGGATTTGGGACAGAGGGGACCTGCTCCCTGCCCCTCACCTCAAATAACCCAAAGCCTTTGCACTTGCAGGCTGTGCATGGATGCTTCCAGGGTCACAAACAAACCAAGGTTCTTTTATTAAATACTCACCAGGTAACACACAGAAAAGACTATATCCAGAGCCGATCCCTCAAGCTGCTTTTTCTGTCCCCTGCAGTGATTTATGCCGCACCCATTCCCCACAGAAATTACAGAAACTGCCTCTGTCCCGAGTGAAACTGGAAATCCCAGAAGTACAGCAAGTCCATCCGCTCCTTGCTCCATCCTTAGGCTTCTTCCACCAGTTTAGAGAGGATTTCTGCTCCCTCAGAGGTAATCACAATGGTATGTTCAAACTGCGCTGATCTGAAATGCACATTTAGTAGTTATTAGAGGGCAAATGCATTCACCATTCCTGCAAAACTCACCTTTTTTTTTTTTTTTTTTTTTTTTTTTTTTCTTTTCCAGGCTGTCAGTGATCAGTTCCGCAGCTTAGGAAAGATCAAAAAATAAAATCAGGCACCTTTTATTGTCTACAGAAATTGCAGTCCATTTATCCTTCAGAATCTTAAATTCGGGGGATCCTTCCATTATTATTGGCTCTGCAGCAAGAAAAACAAAATGTATTCTAAAGTTAGTTCCACTCTCATGCAGACTGTGAAGCAAGCAAGAAGGGGGGGTGTCCCAGCAGGTAGCTCCCCTTCCACACATGTCCTGTTCTCCCTGGGCCGGCACTCTCTTGCAACACTAAAATGTGAACTAAAGAAGAAGACAATATATCAAGGTGGGAAGTTGCCCATTCCCCTTTTGTAAAAGCGGGGAATTTTAATCAAGCTTTAATTAAGACCCCGTGGATAATAACCAAAGCACCAACAGCACTTACAAACAGCGGATAGTTTTAAATATTGGAATTTTTTAAACAGGCTTAAAATGTTCATTAAATCGGCAAAACAACAATTTTCTTATTTCCTTCTAATTGCCGCGCCATTTAGCCACGCAGTGAGAAAGAGGGCTTTCCCTCCTCAGCTCGCCATGATCGGTATTTAGCACGTTGAGGCTGCGGGGCGAGGCTCTGGCTCTGGCTCTGGCTGCCTCCCGCCGCCCCGGCCCCGGCCCCGGCCCCGGCCCCGGCCCCGGCCCCGGGTGACACCGGAGCCACCGGGCTGCTCGCTGGTCAGCCACGGCTTCGGGGACACAACCGCATCCTTCTCAGCCCCCACCGCCCAAGTGCGCCGGCAGAGTCTCCGCCTCGCCAAAAATACGCGTCAATTATGCCATTTCATAAGATTTAGAATAAACATTCATTTGCTAAATCTTATCCATTTGGAAGCTACTTCACCCAATCGGTTCCTTAATGCATTTTTTAAAAAATGGTATTTCAATCTCCTTCCTAAGGGGCCAGTGTCGCCGACATCTCTCTATCTACATGGATATTTTTATACCCCAATAAAAAAATGGAAAGGATCTGGGCTGATCGGTGTGTGCTTTTTTAAAGAAAACCATAGCAGAGAGTTACTAACCTATTGTGAACGCCATTCCCTCTTCCATTAACAAATCACTGTCATTGGCTACAAAAGAAAATAAAAACGCGTTTGTGGATGTTTGGGATTTTCCGCCCCCCCCCCCCCCCCCCCCCCCCCCTTGTAGTAACGCAACCAGCACTTGGTTTAAACCCGGTTTTGGCTCGCAGGTACCGCGCACGCCGGTCCCCGTTATGAACCGGAGCACCCGCCGACAGCGGGGCCACCCCCGCTGCGGCGGGACCGCCCCGACGGCGGCTCCTTCCAGGCCGGCTCCGCGGGGGCTTTAGCGTTTCAGAGATTTTTCCTTGCCCCGTAACAAACTTTTCTTGTGTGGCTCGGGCGCGGGTGGGATACGGACACGCGGGAAACGGCGGCTGCCCGGAGTGGGGAGGGGGAGGCGGTCCGTGGGGCTTAAGCTGCCCCGACGACTCTGTTAAACGAGCAATTTGTCCTCAAAAAATACCCGCGCGACCCTCAGAAAACGAAGGCCGAGGGTGCCCGCTAGCTTCCCAGCATGGAAAGCCCCCCCCGGCACCCCCGCCGAGACCGGCAGCGCGCGCGGGGGGGACAGGGGGGAGCTCTGCTCGTTTCACCGCCCTCCCTCTGTCCCCCGTGGAGTCATTTCATCGCCGGCGGCGGAGCCAGCGCGGGGGGAGGCGGGTCCGGCTGGTGGGGGCCACTTACCGTGGTGCCACACCTCGGGGTGCCCGTGGAAGTACGACCCGATGCCGTGGCCGACGAAGAAGGGGCAGACCTGGAAGCTGCCCTGCTGTGCCACAGAGCTGCTGGGGGCAAAGAGGACACCTTGAGGGAGCGAGCCCTGACCACCGCCTCCTGCCAGCGGCAGCAGCATCGCCCTGGCTCCCGCAGGCTTTCACCCGTGCCCCAGCACCAGGGCCACCACTTTGCGCCTGCTCCAAAAGACAGCAGCCATCGGAGCTAGCACTGGTGAGCCATTGTTAGGTTTCAGAGTTAACACGCCTGCCAGCAGAGGCTGGTAGCTCCTGTGCCAGCCCTGCTGTCTAAGCAAGATGGGAGTGTGCTGTCTCCCTGTCTGATGGAGGGTAACCCTTTCCATCAGCACACTGGGAACTCATTTTAACATGGGACAGCTAAATGGCAGACAAGTCGTGCAGCCGAGGCCCCAGTACATCACCAAACCGCAGCCTCTGCTGAGTCCTCCCCAGGCACAGAGCCCGTGCTGGGCCACTGTACCCACCACCCTGCACTGGGTCTTCTGCAGGGCAAGAGGGTCCTGCTGCTGACAGGGAGAGCTGCAAGCCCTACCCCTTCCCTTTCAGAATACTGCAAACATTCAGTACCAAAATGTACTGAAAATCCAGCAAATTTGTTCACGCTAATTAACAATGTATTTTTAATGCACCCATCACCACAGTAGCAAAACCAAATCATAACAATTACGGTGTTTCAGTTCTGCCTGGGAGATCTGTCCTGCCTTCATGGCCTGCCTCAGGGAGGAGCGTCTCTGAGAGCTGCCTGCAGGAACATGGCTGGGCACCAATCCCTACCCATGTCAGGAAAGTAAATTCCTACCCCGATCCCTAAAAACCGGAGGATCTGGAGATATGCAGTCCTCCAGCTGCGGGGCCACCCTGTGCCTGCAGGCTCCACTCTCAGGCTCTGCCCTTACTCAGGCAGTGGCGGAGGGGGTGACTTGAGGCAGCTCAGCCAGGACTGCTCACATCCGAAACAGAAATGTGCGGAGATTTGGGAGGACCTGGAGTTGGATTAGAAGTAATGAGGAAGCTACCCCTGTCCCTGCATATCATCCCCACACAATTTCTAAAATCAAGCAGGAGCAAGACAAGAAGACACTTAGCCTGAAAAGATTTTGCCTACAACATTAGAAGCTTAATTTGTTCATTTTAAACCAAGGTAGGCAGTTAAAAACGTCAGCTTTGCCTGTATTTACATCCCTAACAAATGCTTTCTCAGAGTTTGACTACAGGTGGAAAATCAGGAAAAGTTAAGAAGCTCAAATAAAGGTGTAAGCTCTCACTTAAAGCATGCTAAACCCCATGGAGAGACTCTTATTCAGCTGCAAAGTGGCCTCAGCTTGCTGTACGCAGTAAATCCCTTTGCACACCAGGCTTCACAGACCTGCAGTGCTGGCTCCAGTGCCTGTGGGTCACCATCCCAGAATGTAATGCCACTGCAATTGAGGGACATGGTGCTCCACCACAGCTGAAACAGCAATGAGAGAGGAGAGCTGGGTCAACGGTTAATAATGCTGCAGTGTTCAGACCTTAAGAGCACATTTTAACAGGATTTGTATATCAGCTTTTATCTACCCATTGCCCTGATACAAAGACTCATCACATTTCTTTCATTAACTCTGGAGAAGAATGGAGATTTCAAGTTTAGCTACCCCCAAACTCCTAAGTACTGGCAAAGAGGGTTACCAATAAGGCTAGAAGTTGGGCTTCATTTGGTTGTATTCAAAGTCAAGCCTTTGACCTCCTACATCATTCATGTGGAAAAAAAATCATGAAGGTTTATGCAGCGAAAAGTCCTACTAGAGATGGAAAAGACTTTATCCCCTGCCTTTCTATTACATTACCCACATCTGGGTTAGAGCCTTGGCCTGCTGGCTATGACGATGCTGAAGGCCAAGGAAGAAGCATGGGGAGTAGTGAGGAGTTAGAAAACCAGATTGCTCAGAAAAAACCCACAAAGGAAAATGGAAGATCTCCAGTGACCAAGCCCAGAGCAATGCAGATAATGATTCCCATATGAGTGAAGTGATTCTCTGAAGAGAGAGGGGAGAAGCCGTCCATGCAACATGTGATAAGCTTTTCTTTCACCTTCTTCTGCAAGTCTTTTTGCAAAAGCACAAACAATTCCACCAGCTATTCAGCTCTGCTGATGTCCTTACATGGCAACCCTGACCACTGAAAGAGCACGGTCCTTTTTTGAGATGCCTTGTATTTCTGTAACAAGACAGAAAGCTTTTTTCTGTACAGCTATTCTTCTGAGCACCACGGCTACATGCTCGCCTGCGGGCAGGGGAAGCTCTCGCCCCAGCACCCAGCTGCTGCCCAGGAGGGTGGCAGTGACGGTGGCAGCCGCTGCTGCGTGCTGGGCACCGGCCACACGAAGCACTGGGGCACACAGAAGGCAGTGCCAAGACAGTATCCTGTCCTCATGCAGGTCAAAGAAGTAGTTCTGGTGCGTTTCAATGGTGAATTCTGCCACTTTCTTGCCAAACAGCTTGAAAACAACTCTTGCTGGCATCGGTACTTCAGTGGTTACTGTCTGTGATCAAAATAGGGGACCTTGGAGCTCGCAGGGCTTTGACATCTGCACTGACAGATGCCTGTGTCTCTCCTCCTTCCCACTTAATAATGTCTACATACAGAGCTTGGGTATTCTTTACATAAAATGTAACATGGTCAATGAACCTGAAGTGACACATGAGAAAACCTGTGGAGAAAATAAGCTGCGGGTTATGAAACTCAGTCATGTTCAATCTGGTTTTAGTATCTGAATGTGCTTCAGAAGCACCTTATGGGGAATTTCATGCCGGAACTACTAGCTCTACTTTGGAGTATTTAAAAAATCCTAGTGAGCTCTTACACCCTTGTGGAGTTCCAGTAAAACACCCAGCTTTCATAAAAAAACAAAGCTACTAACCCCAATTACAAATTGCAAAGGTAAGCCTTTAAATGTACATACTGGCTGTAAATGCTGGCAGGACTCTGAAACAGCTGGGAGAAGAGCGAGTGAATTGAACTGTTGATCTTGGTCAGCCTCTCCAGCCTCCGGGATTCCCAAGCTGTGGAATTTGATTAAAAAATCAGGGTGCCATGGAGTGGCACATTTTTTGCACAAGTTTGCTATTTGCTGCTGACAACTGCTCAACATTTTGGTCCTGCTGTCTCATTGTCCAGCTCAGGATCTGTCAGCGGTGGCCTTTGTTTCCAGCTTTCCCTGGAAGGCAAGCTTAACAAGATTGCAGCCCCAGCTCCACACGCTGCTCCTTGCAGACAGGCGGCTGAAGGAGTCCTGATTGCAAGCGGGAAAGGAGTCAGCATGGCTGAGCTGGGCTGTCTGGCATCGATAGGCCAGTCTGCCAGTTCCCCTTGGCTGCGGGGTGCGCCTCAGCCAAATCGCTCCCAGAGCAAAGGCTGGGGCAGCAGAGCCACATACACTGTCAGCATCGAGGGAAAAAAAAGGTTCTTCAGAATAATCATTGTTAAAAATATCCATTGACAGCACTTATCATCACACATTTTATTCTTTGAGCCATGTTGCATGGTTGGGCAGAGGTGAATTGGGCAGGATTAAAAGCATAATCATTTAACAAGCCCCGTACTTGGTTTTATGTTTTGCTGCCATGTGTTCCAGTGGCTGAGGAGTCAATAGTACCTGCAGTGCTGCACCTCTTTTGCTGATGGCAAAGCCAGGCAAAGTGTTTGGCGCTGGGATGGACTGGCAGTGACCAAGCCAGTAAAGGAATATCACTGAGGTCCAGGCTGTACCCATAGGCAGAGCCTCTCGTATGGTGGTATCATGCTTCTGAGAGTAGGCAGAGAGAGGAGAGTTGGGTGTCAGTTCCCTCCCGAGAATCCTTCTTCCCATGTTGCCAGACAACAGCTAATTTTCCAAAAGGAGGGATGAGTGTGGAGACATGCATTGCTGTCCCGACAGCAGCCCAACAGGGAAACTGCCATGAAGCAGCAACAGGCAGGATCGACTCTCTACAAAATTCTCCCTGATACTCTGGAGCCTCCCCTGGAAGGAGCTCTTGGGTGATAAATGCCCCTCACTAAGAAGCTGAAAAGCAGGTTGAAAGAATTTCCTTAGGGGGCTGGCCCTGTGCAGATAGCTTCTAGGAGCATCTGCAGGGTAACAGCCATCCCAGCTCCAGAGGAAAAACAATCCATTCAGTTTTAGGACTAGAACTCCCATTTTTCAGGGCAGGGCGTGGGGGGAACCCCTCCAACCCTCCCCTCAAAACCTGGATCTTCTCTTTTTACCAAATTTTGTCACTTTTTCTTCAAGGCAGGTCTGGTCCAGTATTCTAAGCCCTCACAGAAGAAATAAAGTGAAACAAATCCCATTTTCAGTATTGATAGCAACTGCTTCTCTCTGGTGGCACAGAAGAATTTGGCTGATCAGAGAAGACAGCACAGACAGTTTTGCTACCCAGGCTGAAGGTCCCAGTGAACCAATTCCCAGATAGGGACACTTCTCCTGCACTGTCAGTTTCTTTCCCCAGGCATGAAACTTTATCAAAAACAGTCTTGCAGAGGAGCAGTCTTGCAGAATGGCTGAAGTTGCTGAACAAATCTGTCTTACACTTCTGGGCTGTGAATACTCTTGGGAAACACTGAGAGAGATAACAGATCTATGATAATTGTTTTCTTAACTAGGGGGATCTAAATTAACATATATATATATATTTTTTTTAAAATAGAAGTAATCATGTTTTTCTTAGATATACTGTTAGCAAAATGACCACTGAATGGCATATGTGCTCTTTTACTTTTTGAATTCTTGAAAACTGCATCAGCCTGAACTAGACTTGCTCATGATAAAAATATATATTTTGAATAGTAGCTTATTATCTAATTTGAAAAATTACAAAATTCTACAGGGAAAATATTAAAGTATTTTTCTCTTAAATAGTAATACTACACTGAGGGAATGCACAAGTTCAGGGATTCCCTATAATGACAATAAATGTTGAGGTATAATTAGTAATATTTTTGAAAGCCAACAATTGTTTTTTGAAAGAAAGGTACATTTTAGTTTCAAACTGGAACACAAATTACTGTATTTTTCTTACAATAATGCTGAACTTTTATTTGAGGTTCTCTGTTTCTGAAAGCAGACATGATGGATTGAAATAAAAGATAATTTATTGCAATGCTTACTTTCAAGTGCAGAGAGAAGCAGTGTAATTGTAATTTACAGTAGCTGTCAAGGAAAATCTATCACAGATGACATTAAAATGACTTATTTTGCCTGAGCCACTTATTGTTTAAATGTGCATAATCTGATAGAAACAGATTTAAAAAAAAAAATCTGCTTTATATTGTTCTAAATTAATATGAAAACATATACTTATGAGTTAAACATTTTAAACCATTTATTAATACTTTCATCACTACTATTTTTTCCTAGGAGTTGGAAATTGGTTTATTTAACAATATCACATTTATGTTTTTTAGCTCTCTACACTCACAACACTTCCACGTACCTGAACTCACTGTCTAAAAAGTAGATTTCAAACTAGATTTGTATCTGTCTGAAAGAAAAATGTCAGAAATGGTAGAAGAATATGGAACATAGGGCCCAATTCTGTTTCCACTGGAGCTGAACAACAGTTTTGCCACCACCTTCAATAAGAACAGGTTAGCAAAGATTCACATTTTTCTAAGCAAAATAACTCATGAATCCATGCAATCTTTTATTTGCAACCTGTAGTTGATGGGAAAAGGAACTGCTACCCAGGAAATACTCAGTGTTAGCTCTCGAGCTTCCATAACAAAGACTGTGTTAGAATACTGAATGCAAACTTACCTCTGCGGTATAATTATCCCCAAACCTATTGTAGAAAGGAAATATCCTGATTATTTGTGCCTAAGATATGTTCTGCATATCATTTGAACACCTTTAGAGAAATATTGATGAAAGAAACCTAGACGCCTTTCCATTCTGATGGGCCTAAATGTTTTCAGCTTGTTTGTGCTTGTTCTCAGGTATTTATGATATCTAACTCTCCTGAAACTTAAGATTTTGATTTATGTATGTATTATATATGTCTGTCTGCATTCAGATGTCAAACGACAAATAACCAAACACACAGCTTCACCAAACCAAGGCGATCTTTCAGCAGAGGCAGTGTTAAAGTAGTTCTAAACAAATCAGCACATTTAAATCATTGACACCATAAAATCTTGAGAAATAAAGTTAATGACCTGCTATTTCATATGTAGTTTTGAACAGCTACTAGCTTTGATTAATCTGCTTTTCAAAGGGGGCGCTGACTATATATTTACACTTTGCAAGTAAACTGACCTCTGTACCAACACAGCAAAAATCCAATGTCACATTCAATTCTGTTCTTTTTCTTCTTCTTTTTTTTTTTTTTTTTTTTTTTTTAATACAGCTAGAATTAATGTAGTGAATCTGTAATGAAATGCATTATCCTGCATGGAGATTTATCAGATTTTCCAATTGAATGCCATGCTTTGCTAGCACTAGCTGGAGTTCACCTGCATGTTGGTGTGGCGTGTGGCTCTTTTTTGTAAAGAGTTAAGTTGAACACAAAAAAAGGGAACAAAGGTCAGCACCCAGCCGCCACTTGAATGTGAGATTTTTCTTTTTATTCCCCTTGATGTATACTAGGCTCTGTGTTATTAGTCTTAATGATGGAAAATTGTAGTGTTGATACAAATCTTTTTTTCAAAGTAGTAGGCGGGAGCTCCATTTGTTAGTAAGTTTTTTTGTGACTAAAAGCCACGGACAGTACATTTATGTAGCAGTAAAAGGCCTAGATGCTCTTTCCATAGCAGAGCTAATTATTCCTACTGTGACCTTACTGATCTACCCTGTTCCTAGTACATCTCATCTGCACGCCTGTTCCTCTGTGTAGATGGTGTCAGAGAATATGAAAAACCCTATAATGAAACCATTTTCATGATGGAGAAAGGCTACTGGAGTTGCACTTGCTACAAAGAGGCTCAATTATATGAGTAATTGTGATAATTTTCTACATTCATAGCCTTCAATGGGGAAAAAAGAATGAGAGCCACAAAGGAAAATTACTTTAACAAGAAAGTACAGAGAGTAAAAATGGAAGAAGAGACAAAAAAGGGGAAAAAAATAACCAGAAAAAAAGTTTAAAAAATAGATCTGGAGGGAGGAATAGCAAGACAGGGAGAACAACAGAAATGCTCAAAAAGCCTATGTGCAGCTGTGTTGCACAATTAAATTGAATTTTTTTTCTGCAGTTGATGAATGTGACTACTGCAAATGTGCCTCTGTAGTTAGCTATCATTTGTTGTTCTGTGACAGGAAAAGGATAATTACCTCTCAGAGAGAATCAAAGGCTGACATGCCCTTTAGACACAGCCATGAATGCAGAGCTCGATAGAATGCTTGAATAAGAATCCAGTGTTCTGTGCCCCCTTCTACTCAAGAATAAATTTTGTTAAAATGCAAGAGCACCACCAGTAAATTTGTTGAACCCTAGGTGTTCAAAAATATGAGGTGCATCTATCGACTCATCCCATTTGCAAAAAGAAAACTACATTTTGAATTCACTTCTATTATATTCATGGACAGTAAGATAGTGAGATATGCATTAAATTTCTTTTCCCAGTAGGGGTCTGATTCAACATTTCCTATGAAAGAACAGAAAGACACTATCCTTTTTCTCCAGGCTAGTTAGCCTATAATTTAAAACTGTCAAAAACACAATTTTATACAAAGTCTTCAATAAAAGCTTCTCAGATATAACCCAAAGAGGTTTTACTAAAGTTTGATTCAGACTCTGTTACAATATTTTTAAAGCTATAAATACATCTAACTGATATTTTGCCGTTCTCTTTTTTCCTTAAAGTATTTGAAGATTTACAAAAAAAAAAAAAAGCAGCATCCTTTCAAGGTGACTAAGCCTTGCAGCTTTTAAGTAATCAGAATGTATTCAATAGCATGTTGGGACCATTAATAGTCCAGAGAAGTATTGCTTAATGAAATGTATATGATATATGTCTATTTTTTTTTTTTGGCAAACATTTTAAAATAATCCATAGGTACCTTCAAAAAACTAAGACATATTTTTATTCAAAACTGCCAGCAGAAGAATAGTCATGACTGCATTTACATGAAGGCTAGAAGAGATGCAAAATAGGGAAAAATCTCTGAATGTGAGCTCTTTTTTCCCTGTAGCACTGCTCTTTGTAAGATCAGAAGCTCTCGAGTTAAATATTTTTGTACTTTTTAAACAAAGAGACTTATTTATGTTGACTAATTCCTTTGTAACATTTGTTATTGCTATACAACGAAAACAATGGCTTCTAACCTTCTTACATTGTTAGACAGATGTGATGTAGTTTCACACACAAATAAAAAATAAGCAAAACCCCACCGTAAATTACATCTGTTAATTTAAATCTACCTTAGGAATATCTTTGCCTCTTTCTATAGTTATCTTTGCTGACCATGGTATAATTCACTTTAAAAAAAAAAAAAAAAAAAATCTCTTACCCAAGGAACAACGTTATAGCTTGGCAGTTCACATACTGATATCAGACTGAAATGATGGTTTTGAATCATAAAACATGTCATCAGCTTTATACCAAACCACCAATAACCTTTGTCCCACTTGCCAGCCCTCCCTTTACTTGTCAATATAAGGCTTACCTGATTGTGTTTCCAATTACAGAGAAGGGAGCCCCTGGTCTGCAAGCTGCAATTGCTTCATCTCTACATTTCCTGGCAACCTCCACTAACTTTTGACCAGAATTATCCACATTTCCCACCAAAAAGGTTTCAGAAGTGTCACCATGGTAGCCATTGTAATACACCTAAACATATGCAGAAATGTAAAGATGTTTTCCTGTTTTGCATCCAGAAACAGATCACCTCCTTAATTAAATCCATTATTTCTAGGAACGAGTTATATATTGCAACAGATAGACCATGGGTAATCTGTATTTGCAAGAATGAGACTGGAAAAGTGAAACATTGCAGAGGAAAAAAAAATAGGAAGGATTGCAAGGTGTGTAAGGGTTGCCAATTAAAAATTCAAGAAAAATGAAATTTGTGCATTGCTGCCCAGCAGTGCACTAGATGATGATGTTGCTCAGCCACAGGACATGAGGCTAACTGGGTTGTGTGTGAGAAGACAAGTGGGAGCTATGCGTGAGCTGAAGGGGGCCTTGGGGGCTGTCAGGTACCCAACCCCCCTGCCATCTGCCCCTGGGGCCAGGGACCTGCTTGCACCCCACAGGGGTAGGGCGTCGAGCCCCGGTGCTGGCCGTGAGTGCTGGGAGACCCGTACCTCTGCAACCAGCATTCCCCAGTGGGGTTTTGAGGTGATGCTGTGCACAGCTGGGTGAGTGGTCTATGTGCCCTGCTACCAACACCCAGAGGGAGCCCCATGGAAAGCATGGGCCAAATCCACTGCCAGCCATTGCACGTTTTCTTTAATCTCATCTTTAAACTACAGTGTGGCATCAACATCGGAATTTACTTCTGATTTCCAGACATGAATTTTGAAAGAGAATAAATGTACCATTCTGGCATGGCAAAGTTTCATGTGCTGAAAACATAGCACCCTGTTGAATTAATTAATTCATTTTTGGGGGTACATTTCACAGGTTTTAAATGTCAGCTCTCCATAAATTCTGCCGGGCACAGGAAACCCTGGCTATGCACCACGGAGCTCGGCAATGCACCACTGAAGTGGGGTGTGCAGCTCTGCAGGATGGCCGGCAGGCACATAATTGTAAGATCAAGCCAAATTTCCCTACAGAAAGACAAATTATAATGGTGCACAGTTTTGATCTTCTAAAACATTTTTTCTCCCCCAAACAGTGGGCAACTATCCTTCTAGGACTAATAACTCACCAAGCTCGAAGCACTGAACTTTTGCCACTGGTGAGCTATTTGTGAAAGACAGACTCACATTCTTTTTGGTCAATTCCAAACTAAAAAAAAACCACAAAATTTGCTACAGACAGTTTATCCCAAGGCCAGGTTTGTGTTCAGGCTGAGATGTGAAGAAAATGCCGGCAGTTAGGAGCAAGAGGTGTTTTAAAGAAAGGTGAGTGACAGCAAAGGCCCAACTGTGTTGCCACCACTCTGGTGGAGAGCAGCTGAGATCCCCTGCTCTACACCTTCCTCTGCCAGTCCAGACTGCCACTAAATCTTCTTTTTTTTTTTTTTTTTTAAATTTAATGCCCATTGGGCAGGTTTTAATCTAGCTAGTTCAAACTAAACTAGTTAATTTTTAGCTCTAGCAAGTACAACACACAAAACCCCAGCATTAAACATCATCATCCTGGAAAAGCAAATGCAGTTTTAAAACATAGAAGAGCTTAAGAATAATAATATTTACTGCAGCCCATCAACTGCAATTACATATTTCTGACATTAATAAGCTACAAACACAGCAACTGTAACACACTAATTCCTTAAAAGTCAATGAAACAACCAAGTTGTGAGAAATATTAACCTGGTAATGGCAGGCTGAAAATTGCACTGTGATGAGGATTCAGTGATGGATAATGCTATTGTTTCTACACTAAAATACACTTTAAAGGCTACATGATTCAATTCAATAAAATTTGTATTTCATCTATGAAATTTTACTATCTTAATTGTGCAAAAATTGATTTTTTTCTTCAAATAATTTGTACATAGCATGAAGTGTTTACACTTAATAACCAGAATATTATTTAATCATTTTATAGAACCTGTACACAATCATAAACAATTGGTTGTGCAATATTTACTTTGATTTTTATTCTGTCCACCTGTGAAACGTCCCAGTTTTGTTCATTAAAAATAAGCTAAAAGATCAGTTAGCAATACTGAAAACCAGTATTTTTTTTCCTCAGCTATTTTGGAACTGAATAATTATCAAACACAGCACAGTCCAGTTTTAAATGATAAAAAAATCTTACAAAGTTAATCAGCAATTCCCATCCTTGAAGGAATCTTCACATTCACAGAAACGTCAAGATTTATTTTATTTTATGAGCTTAAACAGAAAACAAAAAAATATGTCTTCAAAAAGACCAGCAACATTTAGTCAGACATTATTTGTAAAGCAGAGTAAACAAGATATGCACACTAAGTTAATATAAAAATGTTTTGTTTAGTTTATCGTGGAAAGTATCTGTGATATAAATCTACACTTTTTTTTTAATCTAAGGCACACTATTATCCTGACAGATAAAACAAAAAATAAAATGAACCCTAATGAGATACAAAGAATTCAGATGTTAAATCCTTAGCTGTTGCAAACTGATTTAGTCTAATAAAATGAGCAAAGCTACACCAGTTCACTGAAGTAAAAAAGTAGGCTAAAAATATGCTTTAAAAATGATAGATCACACTGTGTAAACCTGATAGTTAGAATTCTACAATTAGAAAGTATGGAGATGGGGAAGAATTTAGAAAGATTAAGAAACCTAATGAAACCAAACCCAGTTCTGGATCACACGTGAGTATACCATGGGAAAAAGGTCACTGACCCTAATTTTAATAGCAAAAATATTTTAGAAAGCTTGAATCTCATGCTCAGAGGTAGGTCTGCTGGAGATTTCTTTGCTTCTGTCAGTATGAAATTTGGGCCCATGGAAAATAGTATCAAGTTACCAAGAGTTTCTTTAATGATTAAAAAAGCTTGTTTTTATGAGATGTTACTCCCTTGCATGTGAGATGTTATTGCAAAATAACAGTGGGATTCAAAAGACGTCTGTGTTCATATTGGAAATAAATGGCACTTTGGGAAAATAAAAACATGTACAGTAAAAAGAAAAAAAGCTTCTGTGAGAATTTTTTTTTTTTTTTTAATAAATGAAATGAGAATTAGGCTTCCAGTTTCTGTACTTTCTTGCTCCTAAGAAAATCCAGCCAGTGTTTATTTAAATAGCTATAATTGACCATTATCTGGAAATATTAAGTCATAGTTATATCACACTATTTCTGTTTCTGCGCAGAAGGTTCAGGGCTTTTATACCAGAAATGGAACACAACACTACCTTCGGGGATTTTAATAAATGTAGGGAACACTGCTAGCAAAAGAGTTGCTGTCCAAATAGACTGACATACACAGGCCAATGTAGCCTCTAATGACAGAGTAAGATAATGACAGGCCCCACTCAAAATCAGCAGGAAGAGGAAGATCAATCTTGGCAGAGTGAAGGAAAAATGCTGGCTTTCTTCATGTTAGCTCATCTCATACATATCTATCTTCAGCTGCTGCCCAGTACTGTAGTGCTCTGCATTAACTACACAGTGGATCAATAACAATTACACCTTCTCAAAAACATGACACATAGCAGGATTGGGTTGACATTTCACTTAGGCCAACATTGATCTCAGTGCATCTGATTCCAGTCCTAAATTCAAGTCAGGCCTGGGTCTAGCTGGAATAAACACACAGTTAAAAACAAAAAAGGAAACCAGCTGCTTGTGACTTGGCTCAGAAGTAAACAGCACATCCATCTGTGCATCCCCCATCTCCAATCCACTATTCTTCCTGTTGCTACCAGTGATTCTAAAGTTGATCAAAGACTATTTTTTATATGAATTACTCACCGTGACATCAATGTTGATAATATCTCCATCCTGAAGAGGTCGACTGAAACATAAACAGAAAAAAAAAAAATAATGGTGACAGACAGTTCCCAACAAAGGGAATATAAGAATAAACACCTAATGACACATACATAAAAAATCAGAGGGTAGATATTTTGTGATGGAGGAAGCCAGAGGCAAACAGAATAACCATTTTTAATGTTCAGCTCTCACTACTTAGAGAATAAGTGTAGCTGAATATAAATTAATGAGAAACGACTACCAGAAAAACATACCAACACCTGAAAAATCTACCATTATATTTATTCTTTTTCTCTCACTAGGGTTCATATTTTACTTTGTGAGTAGCTGAATGTATCGCAAATAAAAAAAAAAAAACACATAAATGCAAATATATTTATTCCTTACCCTATACTTATTTTGCTGGAGGAAAAAACCTCAGACTGTACTGTTTGGTTTCTTTTTTGTTTTTTTTTTGTTTTTTTTTTTTTTTGTTTTTTTTTTTGTTTTTTTTCCACACACTCAACTCTGAAGGCATTGTGCTATTTTTTTTCAAGTATCTGGACAAACAGGATATTTTTTGTTCTATTTCACATACATTTCTATAATGTCTATCAGCATTGTGTGGTAACATGATATGCATCTGCAATATGTTTACATATGACAGTTTAGCTGAAGTATGTTCAATATTAAACACAATTTATTAATATCTGTTTAACATTTTCATTCCTGGTGGTAAAATGTATATTATTGGGGAAATACCTGTCAGGAATACCATGACATACCACGTTGTTTACAGAAGTACAAACAGATTTTGGAAAACCTCCATAGCCCAGAGGTGACGGATAGGCATTCTGTCTGATTATTTCATGATGAACAATGGAATCTATTTCTTCAGTTGTCATGCCAACCTAAAATACCAAACATAACATCCTGTTAAAAAAGCAAAGATAGTTTCTCATATTTACTGAATGTGATTGCAGCCAAGCGCTTCAATGAAATCTTGGATGTTTCAAATACGCTGCTTTGATACAAAACACTAAACTGCCTGATATACTTTATTGATATATTGGACCTTTTTTTTTTAAAGAGAAAAAGGTTTTAAATAAAGCATGCAGTAGAAATGAGCACTCAAAGGTTCCTAGAAAACGTAAAATACTGTCTACTTCCCTTCCGTTCTTTTTTCCACATTTGATTTCTCAAAGACACCAATTTTCCATGGCATCTTGTTTCAGTAGCTACTATAGAAATGTCTGGTTTCAATGCTTTCAGTCCTCTAAAACACAACATTACTTTCCCCTTTTATTTGTAAAAGAAAGGATCTTAATTCTTAGAACTGCCCAGTATATTTATCATAATGTACTTGTGCATTTTATGAATTTGTTTTCCAAGTATTCTTTAATTTTATAGAAGATTTAAATATTTGGCTCCATATCTTGAGGATATTTTACTTAAACTTGCCATTGCCTGGATGATCACACTGAATCTACAAGCACTTATCCATCATTTTTAGAAATCTTCATTTTTATGCTTGACATTTTCTAAACGTGTCTTTTTCTCATGATTTTACATATTAAAAAAACCCCCTCTCATAAATCATTCAGCCACTTTCTGAGTATCCATGGAGTGGAAAACGCACGTGCTTAAAATAACATTCTTCTCACTTTTCTTTTGGATTGACTATGTCTCTGGAATGGTTAGAGCTGAAATTTGAAATTTGGTAGGGAAACCTTCCTCATTGAGAAGAAGTGCCTTTGAGGGTTCCTCTGCAAATTGATTTTGATTTGAATGAGTTTTGAGCCTTTGAAAATCATACTTCGTACACATACACTACAGTAGCTGTGATTTTGGAGGAATTTTTAGTAACATGTGGAATGTAGGTAGGCTGTGGCGCAGGAGGCATACTTATCCATATATTGAAATATTCAGTGATCACGCACAGTGAATACAGTGGAGTGCACTTGTGTACTGTGCTGAGGATAAAACCAGGTCTATTTGCTCAGCTTGCACCTTGTTCAGCACAAAAGTGTGGTTGGGCAGATGAGGAGGGATAAACCCACTCAAGACCCAGACTTGGGGTTACTGTGCAACCCTCCTGCTTTGCAGTAGCCACTGCAGCCCCGGCGTGCTGTACCCCTCGGCTCTGGATAAGCACGGGTTTGTTGCTCCTGCCTTTGCTCACCCATCTATCCGCTTCAGCCCGTAGACAAACTGAACCGCTGCGTACCAGGCTGGGTGCTGTCTGCTACTGCTCTGCTCAAGGAATTCGATGTGGCTTTTGGACACTCAGCAGACAGATCTGTGCTCCCGGTGCGGCAGGCTTACACACTGTGAAAAGTTCTGCTTTTAACAGTATCTGCTCTACTTTTAAAGGAGCTTTTGCTAGCTGAGCAAGGTTGGGGAGGCATCTACTGCACACCTCATCCCGTATTTGGCCTGGGACAATCTGACGGTGTCTAGCATAATACTTCCACATTATCGAATTTGCTGCTTTATTCCCAAATCTTTAACCCAAATCCAGGAAATGCTATCATTATTATTTATAATAATAATAATAATAATTATTATTCAAAATACAATACCATATTGTATTTTTAAGTCCCACAGGCAGTAAATGGTAATATCAAAACCGCGCTCAGACCAAACTTGGTCTCTCTGCATCCATGCACTATAATGAACCTTTGTTATATTGGGGGATGTTACCGCCATTAGCTAAAGCACAGGCAAGAGCAGGTCTGGAGGGCTGCATGCAAGGCGGGTTCAGCAAGACAACAAGAACAGGTGGACGGATAGGGCTCTTCAGATAAAATAGGAATGCAGAGTTTACCTTATGAGAACAGCCTAAAAGAGCTCGGTTTGTTTAGCCTGGCACACTGAAAGCTGTAATAGCTCTATTACTGCGTGAAGGGGACAGACTCAAGGAAAGGCAGGAAGCTGTTTAAATTAAAGAGCAGTGTTGGCACAAGAGCAAATGGGTATAAACTGCCCACGTGCAGAGTCAGGCTAGAAAGCAGAAGGTGCTCACTGTTGATGAGGGAGGGTTTTGGAGCACCCTCTCTGTCAGAGGTGTCTTGGCCAAACGCTTGCTGGTGTAAAATGGAGCTCATGACCTGTCTGTGGCTGACCTGGGCAGCAGTCTTGGCACCGGAACTCCAAATGCCACCTCCCTCCCAGTCCACAGTTCCTGGTCACATAATTCTTACCTTATCCACCTTTTTGCTCCAAAATGTTCATTACGTGTATGCAGTAATTTGCTGTTACGTATGATTTGGCACATACTGTGAACTGCATCATAAGTTACACCGCGCTGCACACATATGTATTTTATACATGATAACAACCAAAGAGTATTAGTGGAAAACTGCTCTCATTCAAAACCCGCACTGCACCCTGATCATTCAGAAACATGTATATGCCCTTAACTTTACATTACTAAGTTTTACTGTACTGGGAAATAATTGCACATAAAAAAGTTAAACACGCATAAGCCTATGCAAGATTAAAGCTTCAGGCAGTTTTGTTATTGGCCACCCCAGCTTCAGAATTAAACCTCTGGCAAAGTGTGATGATAGCCAAAAGAAAAATGCATGGTAAACTGGTATTTTTTTCCCCCTTTTAAGTCAATGGCATTGACCTCTAGTCTCTGTCTATCCCTGCATCTCATAGCTACTCAACTCATTTTACCCTATCCAGTATGCTATTACATGAAATACCAAGGCAAGGCTAAAAAAGCACTCCTTCATCTGCAAAATCTGGTAGTAGGCTCCTCCCAGTACATTTTAACTTGGGAGGTGTCCCAAAAAGCATTCTGTAGAAACATTTCTGGAAACCATGAGGCTTTATTATCAATGCACTCTGGAAAATTGTGTAGAATTTGACAGCTGTTTTTTCCAACAGCAGCTCTATGAGTCGCACCGGACACCATGGGACAGTGAGTGGCTGAAGGATGGATGGGAATGGAGAAGGCAGCCCAGTCCTTCAGACTTGCACACATGCAGAGCCAGAACACATGATGTATGAGGATGATGGGCCATGAAAAAAAAGGAAAAAAATGTAGCATGGGCCTTATGAGAAACTCACGTGATTTGGCACAATCTGAACAGCGGGAGATGACAGACAGAGACTACACCTGAGCTAGCAACTCACTCTAAGTACTACATAGGTCTAAAATACATGAATAATTAAATAGGCATATCATGGACTGAATAAAAAGTTAATAAATCTTTCTTTTTTTCAGGATCTCACTTAAAGTTGTATGCACATTATGGGAAAGTTAAAAAAACAAAATAGTAGAAAAAACCCCCAAGTAAGCGAAAGCATAAAATATATCCAAGCTGCTATGGGACATCTGTAATTATTACCTTTAAGCCCTTTCCAGCCAGAAGTAGGACGTGACGGGCCAACTGACAAGCTTGACGAAGCCCTTGAATCTGATCTTCATTCTTAATTTCTATGTCGTCTCCCCAGTCTGGTACAATGCCTGTCGTCACATAGTCTGGCTTCTTTATGTGCTTGGAGAAAAAGGATTGAAAATGAAGATCAGAAAACTGAGCATGACAATGGGATCATTTTCTCAGATACTGCCTCCTGCTTCATGGCAGCTTGCCCTTTCTGTCGTAGTATCGACCTTCCTAAGCCATCAGGGCAAACCCTCAAGGCTGCCTCAGTATTTCTTCCACTGCCCTTTTGAACTTAACATTGCCTGTTACTACTGCCTTACACAGTCTGCTAGCCTTCCAGTGTTGAAACCTCAGATACTGCAGCCGACTTCTAGCACAGACATTCACAAGTTTTGAAACTGTGAGAGAAAGACTTAAAAACTCTTCATTTTCTTTTGCAAAGAGGCACATTTTCTACAAAAGGCATCTAAACACTGGAACTGACAAGACATACATACAGAATTAGGATCAAAAATAAAACTGATAAAATTCTCATTTTCTCGTTCAGACAAAACTCCTGTTAACTTCCATGAGATTGCTTTTTCTTAGGATTTAACTTGTTTTAATTTAGAGGTTTTTACTTACTAATCTACTTCATATGTTGTGCACAAATTTGTCCATCTACAACACTATGCGAGGGTATCCCAATTTGCTGTGTTAAGGAAAGTGTAATAAACTTATTTTCCACACTTAAAGTTCTCAGCCCTCATACAGAGGTGTAATTTAATTTCTGTTTTTTTTTTTTTTAAATCCATAAACATTCATGATACGTGTATAAACACAACAAACTAATAATAATGGCAACATTTTGCACAGACAGGGAAATGCACTTTCTCTTGGAGGGTCCTGGGCTGTTTCACTGGCTGGGGAAGAGTCCCCTCACCCACCACAGCTGGATTGATTCTCTGCCACTCAGCCACAGAGTGAATTTTGCCCTGGCTTCACAACATACCGAATCAAGATGGCAAGCAGAAAACACAGTGGGCACTTGGGCTGTGCACAGCAAGACCATAAAACAGCAGGGTGTAGGAATAAAGAAGAGTGGGGCAACCAATTAGCTCAAGCAGGACTTTAAATAGGAAGACTATTGTTACCTCTACGGGTATTTCATTTCTACTCTGATAAAAAGTGAAACTATCTTTAGTGCACTTAAGTCAACAGAATTTCAAATTTACATTTTGTTCAAATTAATGGCACATCAACCCTAACAACATCCTATTGCAGTAGTTTGGGACTTAATTTAGAAAAAACTTCATCATTTAACTGGATTAGCAACTCCACACACAGCAGCACCCTTGCTTTCCCCTTGGAGGGCACTTATCTAGTAACTGCTGAGACCTGACCCTGCTGACCTGTAAGATCTGTTCAGGGAGAAGCCCCCAGCAGCACACATACAAATGCCTGTGTATACAGCTTCACACCAAATCTTGAAAAAAACCATGTTATTTCAATGTGATTTCTGACATACTCTGTATAAAGTAATAACTTTGCCCTCAAGTTTTCAGAATTGAAGAACTGGACTGATTTTTAGACAGTCTGAGAACTCTGATCTGTGAAGACAACTTCTCAGTAGGACAATATATTTCTCCCTCTTTATCCTAAGAGAAGCATCTAAAAATAGAAAAAAAAGTTTGTAAATGCTACAATTTTTAAACCTTTGAAAATAAATAAAGCCTGTAACCCTATGTTCTCTCTGCACACAGTTTCTACAGTCTCTTAGGTGTAAGAGCCCTACATCCAGCATCCTTACCTGCTTATCTACCTAACAACTTTTTACTGTTTTTACTGCCCACAGAAATACCTCATATTTTTCATAAGAAATCTACAATGAAATTAAAAGTAAATTTTAAAAACTACTAATATACATCCTGAAAAGCACTGGTTTTCTTTTGGCTAAAGGAAAGATACTAAACAGTTAATCTGTACACTGTAATTAAATAGGGAAAAAAATAAATAAAAAAAACGAAATCAGAAGTGGAACATGTGTTAAAATTGCATGAAAAAGTTAATTTTGGCTCTAAAGTAAATAAAAATAAAAGTATATGTTGCAAGAAAAAAAAACACTCAGGCACAGTAAAGACAAGTTTAGAACATGCAGTGGGGCTGAGGGGCAGCTACCAGCAGGTATTGTGCATTCTCCTCCTAATTCTGATATACCCAATTAAAAAGCCTTCAACAAAATATAAACATTTTTATAATTAGCTTGCTAGAGATTTATACATAAAAGGAGTCAGATAATCATGAATGATTCCTACTGACTTTTGGTATGACCATCTATAACTGCTCAAAATGAGAATCTGGACCCAGAAGTGTTAAGTGTTGACAGGTGATTATAATATTCCACATTTATACCACCATAACTGAAAAAGTCCCAGGTTTAAACACCCTAATAACTACATATGCCACAGCGTTTAACATGGAAGACAGCTGAAAACTTCTCTCACCAGCACTCCTATTTCAAATACCAGACCAAGCAACAGGATGGTGATCCAAACCCCCAGCTGTCGGACAACGAATACACTTGATCATGCCTGCAGTTGAACTCTGTATTGACTGAAGAACAGATTAGATAATAGAAATTGCAGTACCTTAGGAACTGGGTGAGCTGGAGATACTGTGGCTGGCCAAACTATACTGAAAGCAGTATTTCTTTGTCCCTGAAGAAAGAAGCATCTTTGCTGTTGATTGCTTGACTGCTTGTGCAGGTAGATACGATTGCACGAAGAAAAGATTACGTGGCAGCCAGTAACAGAGCCTGTTAACAGATAAGTTAAAAATGGTTAACATTTTTTTCTACTACCACATTACAAAATGGAAAGTATGCAAAAATAAAAGCATCATGTAAAACAAACCACAGAACTCATGTAGTAGCTGAGGGTAGTTCAGATTGTTCAAATCTTGTACCGTTAAAGGAAGAGCATTAACACTGAGAAGCAATGAGAACAAAAAAACTCCCCAAACAATACTTTGCAGCTTTATAAAATACCAGATCTGTTTTGGTTTGATGCATTAAAAAGTAGCATGGGCATACTCCCCAAGGATTACAGCCAGAAGTGACACTCCAACTGGCCTCTGCCTGGAGCAATTTGCACGGCTAGAAGCTGCACTGTTCAAGGCTTGGCCAAACAGTGAATAAGGGACAATAGCAAGAAAGAGGAGAGAAAAAATTATTTCATGTTGATTTCAGACAATATTTTCAGCTGTATTTTTGCAGAATTGGTCACAGATTTGAGCTTAACCAAGTTAATGTAGCTCTCGTCATTAGTGCCAAGACACAAGGAAGGAGGTTCAATTTGTCTTGCCTAGCAGGGTAACAGAACAAACTAACAAGAGATATTTTTAATCTTGGTCAAAGGTAATTGAAAGAATTAAAATTTGTAATTGTCTTGGAACATCTGAAACAAATTTCCATTTAATTCACATTGGGAATTCGGGATGGCAGTACATCAGCATATTCATTGCTCAAACTTAGTTGTCAGGTAATGACACATTTTTCTCCCCTCAAAAAAGAAAAAAAAAAAAAAAGGGGGGGAAAAAAGGGCATTGAGGCCCAAAGGTTGTCAGAGACATCAAAACCAAAATAATGCATCACAAAAGACGATGCTTGCATCAAAACCAGGAAATACACTAAATTCAAAAGAATTATTGACACTGACCAATTAAACTACAATTACACGTAGTGCATATATCCATTACTCAAGCACTCTCCAACCTAAACAGAGGGGTTTTTTTAAACATAAGTTTCACATAATAGTTAATTTGCTTCTGAAAAATGTCATATGTATACAAACACAAGAGCGATCTTTTATGGCAAGTAACCCATACGAATAATTACTCCTTAGTAAAAAGGAAATGTTTTTGTTTAAACAGAAGTAACTAAACATTTTTATGTCACATAAATTAATCTACTGCATACTTTCTAACTATGTAAAAATGGTATTTTTTTTAGAAGATCTTCTTCCATATCTTGTATGCTTTTATTGTACCTTCCTTCCTTTCCATCGGATGCATTTATTATGTTCAGATGCAGAAATTATCCTTCCACATATACACTTGGCTGCATACACAGCCCTTTCACAGCATTCCATGATATACAGGAGATACAAATTACACACCTTTTTTGGAGCCCCAAACCCCAGAATGAATGAAATAGTTGCATGGGGTTTGCTTTAGAAGCATTCCCAACTGTCTCTTTGCACACTGATCAGAGCTACATTTAGTTACCCATATCTGAAAGGTTGTAGAGACTTTTACCCAATACAAGAAAATTACTACTGGTTTTTTTTTTTTTTTCTTTAATTGTTGGTAAGTAACAGAGCAGAGTTGGAGAGCGCGGCTCAGCTCTAGCTCTCAGTATAACCTAATTACTCCAATGGAAGTTGTCCGCTTCAAAAAGAAAGAGAATGTCCCCATGGAAGTGGAGTTGCACAGTTAACAGAGGGCTGGATTGGTTTGGTGGTGTTTTAACTATAATTTAATCAACAGCCTCATAATCTACTGCTTTCCTAGGGTCTCCTTCACAAGAAAAAAATAATTAAAAAAAAAAAAATCTGGGCCATCTAACGTGAAACAACATATATACACATCCAAAGAGCCCAAAGTATCCTACAAAGTCTCTGGCTGGTTTGCACCCATTTCTGGAAGCACAGAATCTGCTGATGTAGCAACTTCTGGGCCATCAGAAGCTGGCAATCAGTCTGTCAGCATAAGCTAAGGCAGCTCTTTTACAGAGTGCAGTGGAAGTACCTTCTTCTTACCACAGCTGAAGGTATTATAAATACACTGAAAACCCACACTCACTGATGTGGTCAGCTGAAGTCCATGTAGACATCAGCACGTGAAGGTGTATTTCAAATGCTCTCCTTGATGCACAGCATGCTGCCCAGGCACCTTGTCTATCGTGTAAACGTTTAATTGGGAAAGAAAAGGTGCAAGTGTGCTTGTCAATTATTCAACAATAAAATTCCAACTGTCCCAAATACACAATCTTAAATACATTACACCAGTTTATATTCACAGGTGCACGCCTATCGACTATCCCACATTCAGAAGGGATACCTTTTTATTTGGAATAAAATTTTTACATCTATTCTCCCAAAGATACACTGTAAGTTTTGTCACAAGGTAACAGGATAATAAGGTACTGTAGTCTGTTGTTATTCTACTAACTACTCATTATAAACCAGACGCATACAAAAATATCTACTACTTGAACAGGTGAAATGCGACAACCAAATAAATATCACTGCAGTATAATATGACTCCTAAAATACATCACAAGAATTATAAACACAGGACAACTAAACCTTTATTTGAAATATAAAAAATAATAACAGAAAACATTCTCCTACAAAGTAAAAATAAAATGAAATAAAATGGCATTAAAATATAATGAAGTTACTGTTTTACAATTAAAATCTGGACTCCATCCACACACTTCCTTAAGAAGGCCTTCCTAATGCCTCCACAGCTCCTTTTATTTTTTAAGCTCCCATATTCACAGCTAACTCAATATAGCAATATCATCAATCACTGGAGACAGGAACAACTGGCTATATTCTCCAAGCCTGGCTCAGATATTCCCTCCTCCCCATCCCTTACACCTATCAAAGCTTTCCTCAGAGATTTATTTACTTCTGCAACACTGGCGCTCAAGCACATCCTTTTTGTTAAGCTTTTTGTATATATTAATTACCGTAAGTTCATTAACTCAGGATTTATGCATCTTCCAGCGGAAACTGCAGCCATCAGAGAGAGCCCAGAGTTTGAAGCCGGGCCGCCCGGTAAGACACCAGCACAGCCAGGATGCAAAGTTGACCCTTTACACGTTCCCTCTCTCCCCTAACAGCAAGGCTACATCACCTGCCAGGAGTAACAAAATATTTACTATCAGCTGCAATAAGGGGAATTATTACCAGTGTTACTGAATCACATCAGCAGATACGATGTACTGAGCACAGAAAATTACAGACAACTGCTCCTCTGACTTGCCAGTGAATCACACTGTGCAATGTGTATGCACGCATGTCCTGCCGGAGCCGCTGGATTCCTCAGCATACCTTCCAGGCCTTAATTTGTATTAATAATATAAATACGCATTGTGAGCTTTTGTGAATTACCAGATGAACTCATCTTGTGTGGAAATTACATTTTCTTTTTCTTTTAAACGAGTCAGTCAGAGGGGCTGAATACAGAATTCAAGTATGATGATGGGTGGGAGCATTTTAAGTGACTGATTTTACAGCACAATGTGCCCTATATTTATTAGCCTTTTACTCTAGGTCTATTTTAATTGTTATCTGTTCATGCATGCTACACTATATAATGAAATGCTCCCATTTCACTCACAGAGTAGAGAGTTTTTTATGTGTATCTCTATTAATGACCCTTAATTAAGTTGATTTTAGTAATTTAAATGTGATTTTCCTCTGGTCAAGAAGTATTTTTAAAGGGAGATGTTGGAAATGAACTCTTACATAAACCCTTTTCTAATGCTTCTTGTTTAACAGTTACAGCAATTTATCAGCTATGTTTTCAATGAATGAGGTATGAGGTAGCTATGCAAAAAACTGTTCTTCTACATGATTCATCAAATGTGATCGTTAGCAACTATTTTTTTGGTATTTATTTATGAAAGACTTAAAATTTTCAAGCAATTAGCAAAAATATTACCAAAGGATAAACTTCATTACAGTTCTAAGGTACAATAAATACAAGGCTGCACCTTAAAAGAGCCAAGAAATAAAATTAACATATTTTAAAATAATTTGGTCATATTATCAACAGAAGCACAGTACCAAAATTATTTAGAATTACAAGAATTAACATCCAACCCATTTAGGAAATAAAATCAACCTGCTCTTGACAAAGTAAATCTTAATATACATGAACAATTAACAACATCAAAAGCATTGTCCTCATAACACTTCTTAAAATATGCAATTTAGTTGTTTGTTTATTGTTTTGGGTTTGGTTGTTTTTTTTTTTGTTTGTTTGGTTTTTTTTTTTTTTTTTTTAACTTAAAAAAAAAAAGAATAACTGTGGAGGTTTTCTTAGCATATATGTACTTGAGGGTGAAACACTAGAGATCTTTTATTTGGCTTGTCAGGTCATTTTAATATATCATAATTTTGCTTCTTATGCAAATATTCATTTTGCTGAAACTTCAGAGGAATGAAGTTTAAAGTGAAGTATTAAAAATCATTAAGGGTAATAATATGTGAAATCCAACCTAGGCAAGAATATATAGCTTTTTACCTTTAATTACCAAATGCTCCCATTTTTCAATCTGAAATAATTGTTGAGGCTTGAAAGACATTTAACTTGTAATTGTAATTGTAACTGTCTAATAAAACACTAATTTTGTAATCCCTGTGTTGCAAAGGTACATCCAAGCTTCAAAAATAGGATGGGAAAGATTAAAGGTTCTCTCCAATTCTCTGTTTCTGTGTAACCTGTGTAGCAGAAGAGAGGCTCACATTTCACAAGCAATAACCTGTGTATTTGCAAAAAAAAAAAAAAAAAAAAAAAAAAAAAAGGAGAGGAAAAAAAAAGAACAACATAGGGAAATGCCTGAGGCAGAAGTTGAAACCGATTGGGTAAAGTATAAGGACAAGAGGCCTTGAAATTAAACAAAAGCAAATTCATTCTGTTGACAGATGTTGATTACATCAAAGCCTTGAAAGAACTTTTTTCTGTTTCTTTTTTTTTTCCTTTTTTGCAACTAATACCTCTGCGTTTTCTATACATTAAGGA